ACTCCCGTGAAGGCAAGGATAACAATTACCAAAAAAGCAAGCATGCGTTTATTACGGCCGTAGAGAGCATAAGTGCGAAGAGCCAATATGACTGAAAATTTCAGTAAATAAATTCTCGAAATAAACATCCACTCACCGCAAACGATAAGTATTTGTAAAAAAACGAGCACTTGTCTTGATAGCATGTATGTCGGACAGCTAAGTCTTTGTTAAGCAAAAGAACAGATCTTCGAGAACCAGAATGGAACCTCTGCGCGAAAAAAAAGTCGTGAGCTTGCCATGTAAGTACATGTATGATGAAATATAGCACCTCAACTGAGACAGGTAGGAATTCCCCGATCACGCCAGAGACATTTCCCAGCAGAGCGACATAGCGATTGAGCAGAAACAACACTGCAGATAACGCCTTCGGATGACGCCAAATACAAGAAATTTCTTCTGTGAGGGTCGCCATATGGTCGTATATCAGGATAGCTAGTATAACATGTTAACGCCCCGATGGCAAAGATAAAGAATCCTAGTACTGTTTGGCACCAGAATGGAGTAGTAAGCAACGGACCTCAACCTGGGAGTATCAATTCACTAGAGTCAGCCAATCAAGATACATGGTGCCAATCAAGATACATGGTGCCAATCTACGCATGCGCGACTCACATTTGCTGTGCTTGAATGATATCCATTACGATGAGGCGATATGCAGTAAAGGAGCGTTGAGCATGCCCAGTGCAATATTATATACCAAACCTAGGCCAACGTTCCTCCGCAGATGTCATCATTCACTAGCACTAACCAGGTGCTGCGTATGCAAACCCACAAGGTCTCAACTAGTACAAGCACTTAATTTCTTGTTGGTTGGCGAGTCCCATGGAGACGTAAACCAGGCTAAAATATCACCAGGCTGTTAGTAGTTACACATGCATGCGCATTTGATCCGAAAATAACGTTGGCGATGTAAATCAGTGTGACTTGCTGTTTCGAAGGCGATACAGAGCCCGTGAGAACCGAACGTCGATTAGGTCATCCGCGTCGCACCTGCCGCCGGCTGCTGGTGAATGTAATAGGTGTGCAGCATCATGCACATGGGCCGGCTCCCTGTGAGCAGCTGGGCACCTGACATATCATACAGCGTTCAATTACCTCGTCGTAGACTTTTTTCCTCTTTAACGTTCACAATAGCCACAACGTTCGTGGTTCCGTTGAATCCGCCATTTCTGCCTCGCGTGTCGTTTTCTCAGCGCTTGTTTCAACTTTCCAATAACATTTCCAATTAAATTAATCAACACCCCGCATATGCCCCTGGACGATTCCGCCAGGATCGGTGACAGACTTGACACCAACGTTAGACTTTCACATGTTACTCGCCACCGGCGATGCACTGACAGTGCGTTTTTACTTTGCCAGGTACCCTGCCGCATGACCAGGATCCTTGGGTTTCGGGAGTTTGTCCGTTCAAGCCCGGGCCACGACCATGCGTTGCATCAGATCGCATTGCCTATCATTGAAAGCCTGAGATCGAAGGGGGTTTTGCGGAGGAAAGTTGATAATAATATTTGGCGCAGCAAACCTGTTTTACATCGTAATGATGGTATTTATCTTGTGCCTTGTTCAAATATGTTCAAGCCTGCTTTACAGCCATGCCAAAACTGCTCAAGAGCATCGGTTCTCATCAATGATTTCATTTCATAGAAAAAACGAGGAAGCAAAAACCGCTCGTTCACACGATGTTCATGTATCTAATCATAGATAAGACACTGTCTGCGTCGTCCACCTCGCCATCACCAAATATCTCCCTCATCAGGTCCGCAGTAGCTTGCATTGGCTCATTCGCTTGGACCCCTGACGATTTGTTTTGGTGAATAGGTTCTGCCTTGTGTATATCTCGACAAGGGTGGTGATTACTGGCGGATGAAAGTTCTTGAGCTGCAGTCATATCAATGTCGACCGTAGGGCGAGCTCGCCGTCGGGGATCACTTGTCTTCTTGAACGCCAGCGCCTTCTCAAACATGCGAGGTACACCAGAATTACCATAATCGACGCGCTTCATGGAAGTGCTATATGCACCGATCGAAAATCCTGGAGTTGCATTGGACTGAAAGCAAGATTCATCACTGACGTCCGTCATCTTGTAGTCCACTATAGCTTCGACACGGGAATCCACCAAGCCCTGGACACCTGGTGACCACTGTGTCTGTCGCTCATCGTAGCTGCACTCATATGAATATCGTGGCCTCACGAAGGGCAGCATATCTCGGGAGGTGCCACTTTTGTTCACGTCGCGAATGCCAATAACAGCTCGCTTGCGCTTTGGACTGGATTCTCCACACTCGTATTCGTCGTATGCTTCTCCATGCATATGCTGGCGAGCATAGTGCACATGAAGAACTTTGAGGTCTGGTGTTGTTGATCGCCGAGAAAGATTTGGAGAAGCAGATCTACGCTGGAGGGTGGCGCGAGACTGGAATACGTTGCATCCTGTCCTCGAGGGTCCGAAAATGCGTATTTTGTGGACGTGATCTCAATGGACGCTTTTGTCTCGGAGTTGAAGGATAGCAAGTTGGAGACAAGGGAGTCCATGGCATCTCCTCTGCGTGGACTGAAAGGAATCTAGCCTTTAGTTCCGCCTAGCGATGGTAAGTGAGGAGCTGTCGAAAGTTCGGTGGGCATATCTCACCCAGTGGTTTGCGGCATATCGCAAAAAGGGTGCCGGTGCTCCCTGAGCATCGATGCCATGGTTTGGGGGAGAAATACAAACTGAAGATTGGCAGGTGTCAAATTGACCGATCATGGTAGCCAGCTACGAGATTGGATGAGTGCACAGGATGGTTGGAGGATATGATATAGGGTCAGGAAAGATAGTATGACCTTAAATACTGCATGTCGTACCGTCATGACGAGTGATCTTGAATAAAATGCCGGATGTTTCAGATGCATCATTCCAGTCTGAATTGCAACTTATGTTTCTCTTCAAGCGAAGGCTTCATTATATAATTGGGGGTGGTATATGCATCGCGGATATGATTAAGGATTATAAAAGATATCATACTTGGGACTCGAGCTGAGGGAGAAGGGAGCTCCAGCAAATCCTGATTAGCGCTCACGTCAAATTGTCTCGTTATTTAGCCATTGTCTCGACTCTCGCTGGGCCCCTGCAAACATACTGAAGACATCATAGAGTTTGAAAGTAGACTGGCTGCAAGAACACGTAAAGCGGAGAGGACGTATGGCACCATGTAGGAATTATCATCCACATATCGCCCTACATGTAAGAAGATGCGCAATGCGCATAGGGCCAGTGAAAGACATGAGCGCTTCGCCTACACGTGAGCTGTGAAGCGGACAAATGATGACACTTAGCACTTAGGACGTTAAAGAGTGAACAGGCGCTCAACTAACCTCTGTTGACTGCAAAAACACTCACTGTCTCAGTTTACAAGCTCGCTCCTCTCGCTGGTGACTGAGTTGGTCTGAACAGAGCTTTTGTAAGTGATACTCTAGGCTCACTATGGGACTTGGGGAGTGGTGTACAAATAAACGACGACTGACGAGATAAGAGGACTCTGGTATGGGTGTTTAGCATATCATTGTCTCCAAACGGTAACACTATTACGAGTGGAAGCGATGATGGGAAAGTGAGGTTGTAGGACGTCGAGACAGGGAGCTTGAATGTCATTGCCAAATGGACAGGAGATACTGATTATGTACATCAGTGTGTTGGAGTGGTGATGGTGAGCAAGTGGTGAGCGGATCCAAAGACGGGACAGTAAGAGTATGGGCATTGGGACGTCAAGCTTTCAAGAGTGGAGAAAGAGTATTTGGTCTAATCAAAGGCGCTGATAGATCAAAAAATTGTGACATGCGGATTCCATCACTCAAAGTCGTGATAGCCAAATTTAACGAGAAGGGAGTAAAAATCTGGGATGCCGAGTTGCTCTTCACGAGCGCTGGCATGGATGTCGGATGCAAACCAACTTATCTCCGCGGCGTCCAATAGCTCGATTAGGATATTCAACAACTGCCACTTGGCCTCCTTTGCGCAATGTGAGTGGATGAATTGGCAACAGCTGGAAAGTCGTTTATAATGGACGTACATCGACATGCGTTTCTTAAACATCCATTTTCAATTGAGCAGTGTGACGCGACATCCAGGCCCAGAAGGATGCCGGGCCCATTGATTACCGCCATGCTTTTTGATGATACGCAACACGGCATTCATGTGCGTGGTTAATGCTTTTAAATTGATTAGTTTCTATTCTGACCTCCGTTCTCTCAGTCCTCTGCGCCCCTACAGTACTGCGGTGCTTTCGCACCCTCCTCTCCAACTGCGCTCCTCCGCTGCTTATCTTCACTCTTCCGCAACTCCCAATCCACCAGCAAAGCAACCAATCTTCAGCAACACCTAACGTGAACCATCTTTTTCTTGTCGTGGTCCTTATACCGTCGAAGTCGCTACAGTATGAGACAAACAGGTATATTTTCTTCTGGTGTATTTCCAATCTCCGTCGTTCATTGATTTGTGTGCAGACATTGTTTATTGCTCGACATCCCGAACAAAACTGTGACAAGGCGAAACGAACCCAGCAGCAGCAAACCCGAGCCCAAGCATCGACATCAACTGCCGCCTCGACGTCCGCGACACCTCTTGCTCCTGATACCACCCAAAATGCAGCAGCTGTGCAGTCACAACCTATCCCCTTTTGGGCTTGTTCTGTCCTCTTTCTCTGCTGTACATCCTCTCCGCACAGTAACGGTCACTGATACGGACGCAGATAGATCCATATTTTGTCATTGGTTCTAGTTCATGATCTCTTTCTCGATGTATTTGGCTTATAGTCCATCAATGCCATCCGTTTAGCATGTCCGCAACATCCTATGTGTGACGCAACTCCGATGGCACTTCCTTATTTTCTGTTCATGGCTAATAATCGTGTGGTTGCACGAATACAGGTTCCACATGCTACATATTTTCTATTCAGCCCATACAAACTGCATTTCTCTTGGACCAGGTAAGTACTAAGTTATGCTATGGCTCAAGTCATGAGACCTCCGGTGTTGATAGCTTGATTGAGCAGCCTTACCCATTGGGAATCTGGTGCTGACCAACGGCGGACATGTGATAGGCGTATTGCGCTTGGGGCGCCATCTGCTGAATGCTCCTCCCCCACCGCTGCGAATCTACTTGGGAATCCACAACACGAAACACGGAGCGAGTCTAACTCGTGGACCCCTGGAACTTTGTCACAGCAGAACATGAGGTGCATCCAGGACGTTCTCTTGCAATGCGATGCTGTTGATATTGACGTGCGGGCAAGGATCACGCAGAACATTGCAATACCTGTCGAGACTCAAGAGATACCCTCTGTGCGTGATTTCGTTTATGAAGAATACGATCCAATTGTGCTCAGATAGGTTGAGAGACCTGATGCAACAAAAGTGGGTTCTTCAGAGGTCAGGGTCGTTGTAGATGGAGAGGAGTCTGCTGTGACAGGTTCAAGTTCATCCCATCGAGATCGTTCGTTTCTGGTATGAGCTTTAAGCCTCTAGTGGCACCCCAGTCTTCATTTTCGTACCTTCGCATTTATCCACCTTCTAGGCTGCGCCGAAGCTTTCAGCCGTGCGTCGAGTGGAATTGTTCCGGGTCTCAGGTTCGTTCTTTCCATGCTTGTTGCGGGCCTTTGCTC